CAGCAGCAGCAGCAGCAGCAGCACGCAGGATAGCAAGAAGGGTATATGGAGGAGACTGCTGAAGGAGAGCAGAGAAAAAACACAACAAACACCAACAGGCTGTATTCTATTACTAGGTAACTTGCTGCTGCTGCTGCTGCTGCTGCTGCTGCTGCTGCTGCTGCTGCTGCTGTAGTTGCTGCTGCTGTTCTTGTTGTTGTTGTTGTTGCTGCTGTTTTTTGTTTTTTGTTTTTGTTGTTTCTCTGTTTGTTTGTTTTTGGGTTTTCTTTGTGTCTCCTCCTGCTGCTACTACTAGTACTGCTGCTGCTGCTGCTGCTGCTGCTGCTGCTGCTGTTGTTGCTGCTGTTGCTGCTGCTGCTACCTTCCTGCTGCTGCTACTACTACTGCTATGACTACTATTACTAATACTGCTACTGCTGCTGCTGCTGCTGTTGCTGCTGCTGCTGCTTCTGCTGCTGCTGCTGCTGCTGTTGCTGCTGCTGCTGCTGCTGCTGCTGCTGCTGCTTAGGGTGTGAAGACGTGGGGAAGAGCTCGCTGCTGCAGCAGCTGCAGCAGGAGGGCAGCAGCAGTCTCCTTACAGCAGCAGAAGCACACCAAGACACAGGAGGAGTAGCAGCAATAGATTTTGCTTATATAGGAGTTCGATATATTCAGCCTGCTGCTGCTGCTGCTGCTGCTGCAGCAGATGCTGCTGCTGCTGCAGCAGATGCTGCTGCTGCTGATGCTGCTGCTGATTCAGCTGCTGTTGTTCACGTCTATATACTACAAAATAAAGACGCCTGGTTTGTCTCCTTTTTTTTTGTTTTTTTTTCTTTTTTGTTTTTTTTTTTGTCTCCTTTTTTCTTTCTTCTGTCTCCTTTTCTGTCTCCTTTTGTTTTTTTTGTTTCCTTTTTTGTCTCCTTTTTTGTTTTTTTGTCTCCTTTTTTGTTTTTTTTTGTCTCCTTTTTGTCTCCTCTCCTTCTTTGTTTTCTTTTTTCTCTTTTTTCGTTTTCTTTTGTCTCCTTTTCTTTCTTTTGTCTCCTGTCTCCTTTTGTCTTTCTTCTGTCTTCTTTTTTTGTCTCCTTTCCTTCTTCTGTCTCCTTTTGTCTCTTTCTTTTGTCTCTTTCTTTTGTCTCTTTCTTTTGTCTCTTTCTTTTGTCTCTTTCTTTTGTCTCTTTATTATATATTTTTTATCTCCTTTTGTCTCTTTATTATTTATTTTTCTTTTGTCTCCTTTTCTCTTTTTTTTTGTCTCCTTTTGTCTCTTTCTTCTGTCTCCTTACTTGCTCACCAATAGACAAATAAAAAAACAAATACACAAATAAAATAAATAAAATAAATAAAACAAATTAACTAACCAACAAAATAAATAAATAAATAAATAAATAAAAATACAAGCAACGAAACAAAAAAAAAAGAAAAAAAGAAAAAAAGCAAAACAAACA